TTTTGGTTTTTTTTTTTTTTTTTTTTTGGTTTTTGGCTTTTGGTTTTTTGAGACAGGGTTTCTCTGTAGCTTTGGAGCCTGTCCTGGAACTAGCTCTTGTAGACTAGGCTGGCCTCGAACTCAGAGATCCACCTGCCTCTGCCTCCCGAGTGCTGGGGCTAAAGGCGTGCGCCACCACTGCCCAGCGAGACTAAATTTCTTAATAGATTGAGTGCCCTTAATTACTTCTAGTTATGCTAAAGGAAAAAAGTTTCTTCAGAGAAGACAGACACACAAATCATGAGAGGCAAAGAATGATGTACATGCTAACGGTCTATACTAAGAGTGATGGAAATACTTTTTTTTACATGCATTATCCACTACAGTCTCAAACAGCTTACTGAAATGTGAGCTGCTACTGTGGAACACATATCAAACACACCGTCAATATCAGTTAACTACTTATTTATACTTGTCTGGGATTCCAGATGTCACGGACATCTGCAAAGCTTTAACTTAGAAGACCACACATTTTAACCCTTGTTAAAAAGTCAACACTAAAGAGCTCTGCTCCTCAGTAAAGCGTTTCCTCTGCACCCTTCCTGCTGACCCTGCTTTGCCCTCACCACTGGACTCACCCGTACAAGTTGAACTACACCTGGTGCTCTCTGCCGTCCTCTCATCAGGACTGAATTCTCAAGAATGAATTGGCCGGCTTTGCACAGTAGCTGTTATCTTGTGCTGTTTGTTTTCTAAACTTCTTTTTTTGTTGATTTTGTTTTTTGTTTTTTCGAGACAGGGTTTCTCTGTAGCCTTGGAGTCTGTCCTGGAACTAGCTCTTGTAGACCAGGCTGGCCTCGAACTCACAGAGATTCACCTGCCTCTGCCTCATGAATGCTGGGATTAAAAGTGTGCACCACCATCACCAGGCTTCCAAACTTCTTAAGTATAAGGCTTCGTATTTCTCTTCACATCACAAATAGTGTACACTAGATTCTCAGAATGGTGCCATCTAACGAACATTGAGAGGGTTTATGCATTGGTTATGATTCCATAAACACGTGCAGAAAAATAGAGCCACAGAGATACTAAATAAAAGACTTTTATTATAAATTTTGACAATGCAATGCCTACTTAGTCAAACTTTAGTATGTTTCAGTTGTCAAAAATTTTATTTGTGTGTAATATTTTATATTGATTACTTGAAAGGCAGAATTGCTCCTATTACTTTGGAAGGTACTTTGTCTTTCAAGTTCTACAAATACCAGGTAAGGTAGACATTTTTCTCATTTTACTGATAAGAAGCTTAAATTGAAAAATATGAGTTATTTAAGATCGATCAATAAATAAGTTACAAATGGGCCATAACCCCAAAATAAACTACATATATTATAAAAAATAAACTATATATATATCATCACACACAATTAAAAATAACTAAATCCTTAAAATAAATATAGTCTCCAGACTTTATGCCCCTCTAAATTTTTCCCCTAAGGTTTACATACTATAAATTGTATAAACATTTTTGCTACTTATATTATGCCAAGAAGAAATCAATGCTAAAAATGAGACAGATAACAGAGAATACGTATAATGAAAATGGGTTTATTTTGTCTCTAAATAATTCCACACCAAAACATTTTGCTGAGAATGAAATAATTTTTAATCTCTAGACAGCAGATCTCTAAATGGCACAGAGAGGATTGGATTGGATGCAGCTCAGCGTGCTTGGCATGGGTGAGGCCCCGGTTCAGTCCTCAGCTCTTCCCTGCTTCCTCACTAAAAACATATTCAGGATATACTGAAAGTTTGATATTTATTTAAATACATTTAAATGTGGACCTTATAGTCATGTGAACAATCAGGCAATCCAGAACACAATGTACAGACACAAGTATGTGGTGACTGCTGGATATTCTAAAGGGACAAAGAGCTTTTTCAAATAAGAAAAGCAATCAGTCTTTCTAATTCAGCTCTAAGATCTATTCTCCTTTATATACTACAATGTTGTTGTCGGTCTCATACACTTTTACTTTATAAAGAATTCCTCGAGGAAGAAGCTGCTGGAGGTTTTCCCAGATATAGACAGCTACATTTTCTGTCGTGCTGAAGAAAAAAAAGAAAAAGAGTTCAAAATACAAATAATGAAAAAATTTCATTTTAATATATATAGAAAACAGGAATTCTAGTAACAACATCTACTATTACATCATTGTTTTAGAAATAGCACAATAATCACACAAAATGTTATTTGTTTCATTTCTACAGCTCAAAGGGAGAGAGTGACAACACACCTTACAACATCTGCAAAGTACGGCACATCCAGGTCCAGGTTCTTGTGATCAAGGGGCTTCATGACGGCCTCCTGCAGGCAGAGCGGGGGGAACAGCACCAAGCTTGTTTCGGACTCTAACAGCAAAGGGTTCCTTCCCACTAAGGCTAAGAGCCTCCCCCTTATTTAGCCAAGACTCAATACTGGGGAGCAGTCTTGCAAGGTTGTGAAACAAAGTTAGACTGGTTCCTGTAACAACTATGTTTCCTTGCTCCTAATGCAGAGGGAAGAAACCACAAAAACAGAGAGTTCCTGAACTTCCTAGAAACAGAGCCATGGTGATTCACGGCATAGTTTAGCACTTCTTGAATTCTAGAAGCATTGGCAACAGTCTTCCACAGCACGGTTCCACCTATAGAATGGTGCCCTGTGTCAGTAAGACCCGGTCTAAAATAATGGACATTTTCTAAATTTCTGACCCAAAGAATAATTTACCATTAATCTTCTGTCTTAGAAGAAAAAATAAACATGGGATTATCACTTCCTGATAGTTACATATATTAACATAATGTTTCTTCTTGTCATTAGAAAAGATTGTGATTACCTTATTCTACTTTTTTGTTTTGTTTTTTGTTTTTCAAGACAGGGTTTCTTTGTGTAGCTTTGGTGCCTGTCCTGGAACTCACTCTGCAGAACTATAGAGATCCACCAGCTTCTGCCTCCTGAGTGCTGGGATTAAAGGCATGCACCACCACCACCCGGCTTCTCTCTAAATTTTTATCATTAGCTCTTCTACAAAAGTTTAAGCATGTGTGAAACAAGCTAATTTTCCACCTGGTCTGATCTCAAGGTTCACTAATCACTGGTTTTCTTCAGCAGAACTGGAATCATACAAAAAGAGTGAGTCCTAAGTCAACTCCTAAACCAACTAATGTTTAAACATAAATCAGATGGAGAGATGTGAATACCAAGAAAATAAATATCTTCACTCCCAGTTCTGGCCCTGACTTCTCTACTGCAGTTTCTACAGAACTCTAACTTCACTCTACAGTCACAGGAAGTCACTTTTACTGGTGGGAGCACGTATTAATCTAGGCAACCAAAGGAGGAAGACAATGCCAAGAGCTCCTTAAGCAGTCAGTCCGTGACTGCCGAGGCTTCTCACAGTGTTGTCTTACAGCACACAGTACAAGTATATATGTTCTGTGACCCTGTCAGTGCAAAGCCCTGTCTTTAGTTCTCTTAACTAATAAGCACAGAGCTATTCATTCATTCTTTCAATCATTCCCTTATTCCCTTACTCAATAATTTTTGACCACTTATTATTCTTTACCTCCTAGACAAAGTAATGTGTATGTTCTGTGGGTTATATCTCATTCATTCATCTTTGTATTTTTAATAATTAGCTTTTGAAAATGATGCAAAGAAACAAATTTGTTGAAAAGATGAACAATATGAGAAAGTAATTATTAGTAACGCTGTTTTACAAAACATCTGTCAACCCTGAGAATAAAGTACGCTGCACTGAAGAACTACACAAGCAGGTTGACGGTGGGATGACGGAAACAACTAGGTGAAAAAGATTCTCAACTTTATGAGCTAGAATGACCACATAACCTGGGGCAACGGAGTTAACTGTCCAGCAACCATCAGTTTTAATCTATGGAATGAAGAGACTGGTATAAATAATCTCTAAAATCTCTTGCAACACAAGAATTTTTATGATAATACAATCAAGACGTTTTTATTGAATATATTCTGATGTGTTATCTCTATCATGAATTGTCTCAGTAACTTAGCATAAAGCCACAGTTGTTAAGTAAGTGTACTCTTGGGGCTGCAGAGATGATTCAAGATGGCAAAGAGCCCTTGATGTTCTTCCAGAGGATCCAAGTTGTGTTCCCAGAACCCACCTGGGACAGCTCTCGCCACCTGTCACTTCAGCTTCCAGAGAGCCAAGGCTTCCAGGCTCTACAGTCACCTACACTTGTTATTTGTGGAACTAGACTCAGTAATTCACCTTTGTGTTTCTAATATTTAAGCTTTAAAAAGCTGATTCGCATAATTAAAAATAAAGCTTTAAAAAAGAAAAAGAGGCTGGGCATAGTGGTTTCCTTAATCCCAGCATTCAGCAGACAGAGGCAGGTGGATCTCTCAATCTCACTGAGTTCAAGGCCAATCTGGACTTCAAAGCAAGTTCCAGAATAGCCAAGGCTGTTATACAGAGAAACCCTGTCTTTAAAAAAAAACAGACAAACATGTACTTTGAAAAATTTTTATAATCAATGGTATAACTAGCAAAGGCTTCGAAGAAAAGGCTGGGTTATAAAAGAAGGATAGAATTTGATAAATAAAAAAATCAATCTCTTACAATGAAAAGTAGATGAACATGTGACATTTCTCCCCATCACTACAACAACTCCTCCTACTTTCTATTAAGAAGACCTTAGAAGACCAAGAAACAGTTGCCACAAACCCTCTCCACTCTCCCACCCACCCCAACTCATAAAAGTCATGGCATCTCAAGAAATAAGGCAAACAGGGGGTACTAAAAATTATTCTGAGGGGATATCACATAATAATCACTCAATATGACATTACCTCCATGTATTCTTTGAGGTCAGTCAAATTCATAACCATTCCTGTAACAGGATCGATCTAAGGAAGAAAAAAAAAGGTTATCTCTCACTCCAGCAGGCTCTCCATATTTACACTTCCACAAAGCTGGGTGGGTGGCTCACGCCTGTGATCTCTGCATGTGCAAAACAGAATCAGCAGGACCTGGCATTCAAAGCCTTTCCTGGATACACGAGAAGTTCAAGTCCAGCCTAGTAGGCTACATGTTTACTGTCTCAAAGTAAAACAATTTTATAAGTTATTAAAGGCTGTACAACATGCAGACTGTGCCCACATTTTCCTTTATGCTAGGAGCACTTATCGTTGTCAGTGCAGAAGCACCCTGACTTCCAGCACCCTTATCCTTGAACGGATCTTCTGCCCATCCGTAAGCAACAGAGAGGCCTGGCGCGGCAGCAGCTCACCACACAGAAAGGCCAGCGGTGAAGCAACTGAAACGCAAGCTTTCAACACAGATTTCACCAGTGTCTGGAAGACGGCCCAGCAATCTGCACAAATCCACACACCGTTTTCAGCACGTACCTCTCCATGTACTGTCACCACAACTACGGGAAAAAAAAAACAAAAATACCAACAAAAAAAGTATGATTTTCAGCGGATCAGCATATAGGCACAAGTCAGCAACAGAAATTGCTAGCTCTCTGGCCCCAAGGCTATCCTTCAACTCTTCTCCAAACGTCTATTCTTTTAGTTCAAATCTTTTCATCAATCAGTGTACAACTCAGTCCAGAGGAGCTTGGCCGGAGCTCTGGCTGAGCGGAGGAAACAAGCCAACCCCCAAAAGGTGTGAATTCTGCTTCTAAGGCTGACTTCCCGGGGAGGAGGGAGATGTCACTCAGTGCCTTCCTGGAAAAGTGGGAAATGCACATGCATGCCCAGCTCTGTCCCGAACTGACCCAATCCCTCCACAGACAAAAGCGTTCGTCTTTACTGTCAAGAATATGTACTCGGCTCACAAGAATGCTCTGCTGAAAAACAGCAGGCGTTCCCATGAAGCGTCTGAAAACTCGGTGAGCACCTCTACAAAGGAATGACTGTCACACTTTTGTACTTTTTCCACCCCACACAAACACTGGCTATTCCATGGTGAGTACACTGAGCTGAGTGTCTCGGAAAAAAAAGAGTCAGGAACTAAACCAGAAATTCTGATCTCCTGAAGCCTTATGGAACCCCACCTCACCACACACTGCCATACTCTAGGGTTTATGCAGCATGCTTTGAGGCATCAGGCACATCTCAAAGAATAATGTCCTTTTTCCTCCCACAGACTACTTTCTTAGAATACTAATAGCAAAGTCTTATGTATAAACTACTTTTCTGCCACACAATACATCTCTAAGCAACAGACCCTCTTCACTGCCATTATCTACTCAAAATAATAAAATTTTATTTTGCTATGAAGGCTTTTTAATTTTAAATTTTAACTGATACATAAAATATAAAAACATCTGCATATAGAAGGGTACTATTTGATGTCTCAATCCATATATATATATATATATATGTGTGTGTGTGATATTTAAATCAGGTTAGACTATCTATCTCCTCAAACATTGATTATAATAAAATTTTAACATTAGTTTCAACCTAATGAAAAGGAAACGGCTAACAGCAGTTTTATTGTGCATTCAAATGTCTAAGAAAATGATTTAAATCACTTTTGTTGCTGTTGTTTTGTACTATCTTTAACAGAGCAGACAACTGTAAGGTAAACCATAAGACTTACCAACCAAGACCAGAGCTCTTGGCCTTGAGTTTCTACTGAGGGGCTCAGAGCACTGACACTGTCCACAGGCTTCTCACCCATGACCCTGTACTCACATCGCACATGCTCCGTTCTGACTGACAGGTTAGAAGTGAATGTGGTCTTCCCTTACCTTTATAATTGTGCCCGTGGCCATTGGGATTGTTGCACTTCCCAAACACTTTCAAGTTCTCTTCATCGCTCAGAGATGGGCTGACAAAGGAAACGCACAAAAAGTCAGTGCGGCACGCGGTAAGACACCCAAAGTCAGTGTGCAGCAGTAAGCCACTCAAATTCCTGTTAGGTCTGCTCTGGATTTTGAAAACTCTACAACTTAATTTTACTTTAGATGATGAACTGAATAGATCACTCTTCATTTCATTATCCACATTTCTACCAAGAACCATTGCACACGTCCTAATTAACTACAGTACCACATAAAAACATCACAAACTTTAATTTCAACTTACCAATTTCACACCAAGACCCCAACAAATTCGCTCACAGTCAGCACGTGCTCTCTATTGGCAAGGTCTCCTATATCCTGGGCTGGCCTCAAAGTGACCGTGCAGCTAAGAATGACTTTGAACTTCTGATCCTCCTGCCTCCACCTCACAATTCCGGGATCTGGTAGCACACACTGACTTATACGGGGCTGGGGATGGACCCCTGGGCACATGCTGGCCACGCACTCTACCTACCCAGCTACAGCCTGCCTCCAATTCTCAATTCAGAGAATACTCTGAGTGTTAGCTACGGGGCGAGGCGGAACAGAGCAAGGAGCAACAAGAAACACAAGAGACACTGTCCCTCAGTAGCTTAAAAAGCTCATTTCTCCTGAAAAACAATGGCCTCAGGCTCTTTGCCGCCTCGGGACACTCAAATTAGGTAAAACTTTAAAATTACTACAAACACCTGTCATTTTGGACAGAAAACAATTTACTCAATGGATTTGCCTATCTATACCAACTCAGCCAACTCCTTATCTTCTGCATGGTTAGCTAACCTTAAGTTTAAACTTCCCATTATAAAAATCTCTTTGAGGGCCTGGAGAGATGGTTTGCCAGTTAAGAGTGCTTACTGTTATTACAGAGGACCAAGTTTCAGTTTCCAGGGCCCACATGCTCACACCTGCCCGTAACTCCAGTTCCAAGGAATCTGATGCCCTCTTTTGGCTCCCATACGCTCCTTCATGCAAGCTGTGCACATAACACACTAGACACACAACACGATTTTTAAAATTTAATGTTAAATACTTTAAGATCTTTCTCATTTCACTGACTTTCTCCTGCTCACACTTAGAGAACACTACAGCTCATAAGGCTTCTATAGAAAATTTTCTCACTGTACAAAACATTTTCAACTCCACACGGGGCGGCGACACGTATGTGATGTTCTCTGCCATATCCTGGCCTTCCAGCACGGGACAAAGCCTTGTCCGGCAGGAAGTGAGTGGATGCTGTTAGAAATGACTGTTCTCATTTCACAGACAAGGAAACGGAGGTTCAGAGAGCAGACCTTCTAGTCAGTAATGAAGCATCCATCAAAACCATCTCTAAGGTGTGGCCTTGGGTATCTGAGATTCAATAACCAAGCGTGCCACTCGATTAAAAAAAAAAAAAAAGAGGGGAGTATTACCCTGTGTTGTACCCGGTAGCTTATGCTCCTGTCATTGTGCTGGGTACCATGTGATGCCAGCGAGCTGCATGACTTTGAACTTGGGGCAGCCCACAGATGGAACCTCGCCAGTGGCGCCTCCGGGATCAGAGCTCTACCGCCCCCTCCTGGGTGAGGCCCAGTTATGCGAACCCATACCTTCATTTCCTCTTCCGCCCACCCCAGATCGGCTCTAACCCACGCGTGTGGCCACGCCCCCGGTCTGGGACTTAGCGGGAAAAGCCCGCACTTGCGGTGACACACGTGATCACACCACACCTGTGCAGCCGATGGCTCGCACTGAAGGACACGAGGCGTGACAGTCGCGCGCGGCGACGAAGGCCGCCAGCCGCACTCATAGTCTTCAGGCCCGAGACCACAGAACAACCTGCGCTTCCGGCTTCCCAGGCCGAGACCAGTCCCGCCCTCCGCGGCTGCGCAGAGCAAGGTCGGCCCTCCCAGCCGGAAGCGCTCATCGGGGTGGTTTCGGCGCTTGGAGTACATCTGTGACTCCCTCCTGTTCAGTCTTTTCCAGGCAGTTAGAAATACCCTGGGGCAGCGAGTTGGTGAGAGACAGAGGCCTGGATTTTTAAATTGCCCAGGATAGTTTGAGTCTTCCCCTGTCACTCTATTTTTTGATAGCCCTGGATTAGAATAGAAAAATCCAGTGGCTGGGTGCCCTTATCAGATACACTCCAGCCCAGTACCACATTGGGTGTAAGGAAATTCTAGCCAAGGATAACAGTGCATTGTTACCAGAGTTATTATGGAGACGGTGCCCTGAGGGTTGATTTCAGGGGTTCTATTCTAGGCAATATAGTAAAACACTAGCTCAAGTGTGGGGGGGGGGGCTTTGACACTGCACTACACAGGTGAAAGAATGTCACGCAACGACCCTCTCAAACCAGACGCAGGCCTGAAAACAGACTCACCCTTCAGAACCCTCAGCCTGAAGGAACCAGCCAATTCTGGTTTTAGATGGATGGTTTTCAGTGCGGTGAAACGCAAGGGTGTTCGGGTGTAATCCCCACTGCTCTAGAGCAGCCTTCACTGGCTGTGTTTGGATCTTCTGTCTCAGAAGGTCAGCACCTATTAGATGCTGTCAGAGAGTCAGGTGTGGCGTGCACCTGTAATCCCAGCACTAGTGCTTGAGACAGGAGGACCCAGAGCTCAAAGTCCATTGTGAAAGAGTTAAATCCTGTAAGTAATACAAATGTACACCTTTGGCAAAGCAGCCCCCATAGTCATCACCCCATCCACTCAGTAAATCAAAAACTTGAATTTAAAATGTGTTTACCTAAGATCTCAATGCCAGATGCTTTAAGTATCAGACACACACATCTCAGAACAGCAAAATGGTTCCTGTCGTCTGAAAGTTCAGTTTAATGGGGGAGTCAAACAGGTAATGTGGCAAGAGAAAGATTACTAATTCTGCCTCAGAGGGTAAAAGAAAGCTTTTGAGAACAAATTGTTCTGAGCTGGGTTTTAAGGAGTCCTACAGGTGGGTAAATAATCAATTCCAGGAGGGAAAGAGTCAAAGCAAATGAAACATGGAGGTGTGGTTTGTATAGTGACAAATTTGTGGCTATCTTGGGATACGAGGCAGAAACTCTACTGGAAATATTGATTGCAGACCAGAGTACTGTGAATGTGTTTTTGTTTGTTTGCTTGCTTGTTTTTACGAATAGAGGAAAAGAGACCCTACCTTCTTCCCATCTACTTCCTCTCCAAGAGAAAGGAATTCCCAACTGCTTGAATAACATTTCGGTACAATTGAGTCCTGTTTGCTTAGATAGTGGTGGCTTACTCTCTGGAGCTATGCATATAGAACAAAAAATAAAAGAAGAAAACTCAAAGCCCAAACTCTCCACCTCATTGATCCTGGCCAGCTTCCATTTTGTTCTGTATCTTGCTTCTGTGTAGCAAAGCCAAGCCAGGAGCAGGCCCTCTCATTCTTCCTTTCCTCTTACTTGTACCGTGACCATCACACCCATATTGAGATGAAGTAAAGGTCCCTATGCAGGAAAAAGATACCTTCAGATCTGTGTGCTTCCCAGAAGTCAGAGACCTCATCAACCTCCATGTCTAGACAGGATATATTTAAGCCTCTGTGTTTTGTCTGAGGAAATACAGGAATCATCCTCCCCGCCCCCCATAGACTTTAGTGAACATCAAGGGACTTACTCTCTCAAGGTTCTTGGCTTCCACACTCCCACATCTGCTGTTAGCCCTGTCTGTCTCTCATAAAACCTCACGTGGGATTTAGCCCTTATTATTACTGTCATGTGATGCAAACCTCTATACAGGCACTTCTATATAAGGAACACTTCACTGGAGAGGAAAGGGTTAATGGGGTTTAGAATAATCTCTACAGAAATTTAAAGAAAAAAACTGACATTCCATGACCCTAAGTGTAAGTTAACAGGTGTCCAAATCACATCTTGGAGGGCTTCTTCGGGAACAATGAACAGGCAGAAGGGTTCTGGGCAGTATAACTGAGCTAAGATTAAAGTTCAGCCACAGGGCAACTGAAAGAAAAGGGAACAGACATTCGGAGAGCATACCTTTACTGGAAGGTTGTTGGTAAAAATTGAGGGGTTTGAAATGTGAAGATTATATGGTCTCTACTGCCCCCTGCTGCCCAATTAAATAAAGAACCTCCTGATTTTCATCAATAGCTGGAAAATTATCTATCTGGAGATTTGAATAAACGCCTGCATGTAGCAATGTCCCACAAAACAACCACCTCTGAAGACTGAGCAGGGGGCAGGACGGGGATGGTAGTGGGTGGCCTGGAGAAGGAAAACTGAAGTGAATTGACATAGCATTTGCCACAGGCATCAGAGAAACACCCAGTCCAGAGGCCCCCAAACAAGACAGTACTAGCGTCTCGTCCCAAACACCTAGGACCAACCGTAACAAAGCAGACTGTGACCTGTTACAGACTTGGAGAGAGAAAGCTGCTGGTCTAGCTTCTAAGCCAGCGGTTCTCAGCCATGGGTCATGACCCCTTTGGACTGACTACTTTTTTCACAGGGGTCACCTAAGACCATTGGAAAACACTGATATTTACATTGTAGTTCAAAAGTGTAGCAAAATTACAGTTATAAAGTAGCAATGAAAAATTTATGATGGGAGGTGTCACCACAACATGAAGAACTGTATTAAAGGGCCACGGCATTAGGGAGGTTGAGAACCACTGCTCTCAGTCTACTATGCTTGATCACTTGTACTTCTTCTCCCAGGGCCTCTGATCATGTATGTGGTAGTGGTAATGACCTAGTTTTATTCTTTCTGTGTGTATTCCTTTTTAAAAAATTGTGGAGGGGGGGTAGCACAAGTGCCACAGAACATATATGGGGTCAAAAGATAGCTTTGTAGAGTCAATTATCTCCCTCCATCTTTACATGGGTTCCCAGAACCAAACCCATGTCACCAGGCTTGCACTACAAGCACCTTTACCTGCTGAGTCGTCTTGCCAGTCCCTTTTCATGTATTCTTTTAGCTAGGGAAACATGTTCAGTAAATGGAAATTATCTTCCAAATATTCCCCGGGGCTTACAAGATGGCTCAGAGGGTAAATGTGCTTGTTAGGTGATTCTGATGACCTGAGTTTGATCCACAACCCACAAAAGGCCAAATGCAAAGCCTTGTATCCATAACCCCATCACTCCCATAGAGAATGGAGGATTGCCCAAAAGTCCCCAGGTGGAAGGAGAGAACCTACTGAAGAAAGTTGTTCTTTGACTTCCCTAAGTACTCCATGTCTGCACATAGACACACACTGTCCATAAACACAATACAGTAACAAACCTCAACAGAATACAAAAAATTGGAATAACCCCATGTATCTTATCGGATCACCATGGCTTAAAATTAGAATTCAACAGCAACACTAATCCCAGAAAGCCCACAAACAAATGGAAATTAAACAATGTTCACCTGAATCATCAATGGGCCAAGGAAGAAATAAAGGGAGAAATTAAAGACTTCCCAAAATTCAATGAAGATAACAACACAACAAACCCGAATTTATGGAGCACAATGAAAGCAGTGTTAAGAGGAAAGTTCATAGCACTAAATGCCTACATAAAGAAGCTGAAAAAATCCCACACTAGTGAATTAACAGAACATTTGAAAACTCTAGAACAAAAAGAAGCAAACTCACCCAGGAGGACTAGACAGTAGAAAAAAACAAAGTGAGACCTGAAATCAACGAAATAGAAACAAAGAAAATACAAAGAATCAATGAGACAAAGAGTTGGTTCGAGAAAATCAACAAAATAGACAAACCTTTATCCACACTAACCAAAAGGTAAAGAGAGAAAATCCAAATTAACAAAATCAGAAATGAAAAGGGGGACATAACAACAGACACAGAGGAAATCCAGAGAATCATTAGGTCTTATTTCGAAAACTGTACTCCACAAAATTGGAAAACTTGAAGAAAATGGACAAATTTCTGCTGGGGACCAGTCTCAGCAGAGAAATGGGTCTCGAATCTGGGATGTCTGGAAGGCAAAATGAGTACAGGATCACAGGATTCTGATACAAGATGACAGGCTATCAGCTGCAGGGCAGGTTCTTCTTCTGCTTGTTCTTCTTCTGATGCTGCTTCTTCTCTTTCTTCTTTCTTCTTCCTTCTTCTGCCCTGAGCTTCAAACCTCAGTCTTTTATTGTAAACTTTACACAAGGAAAATGATTCTGTTTTCTTGCCACAGGTTAATCATTACCCAGGTAGAGCAGTTCACAAGAAGTATAAAGATTCTTTGAAATCAGAACATCATTCATTATGACATTTTCCCAGTTCCCAAGCCCCATGCCAGCTACTATATTCTTAATTCTTAGCTGAGTTAATCATAAAACAGTTTCTGAGGCTTTCATCTCAGAGGCTAACTACCTGCAGTTACAGAATCATAGTTCAGTGGGCTTTACTCCATTGTCTTACCCTTCCCACTGTTGGTCCTCACAATTCCAACTTTGATTTATAAGGCCATAGGCAGTCAGCCCTAAAAGCCCTAGGTTCCTCAAAAACTTTATTCATCATAGCCAAGTTCTTTTATTTCAGTATAATCCTTTGCCAAATTTTATAATCAGGCAAAAAACAATTTCTGCATTTTCCCCAAATTTCCCCAAGTCTTTCATCAGTCAGGTTCCCCCCCCCCATAACCTGCTTTACAGCTTCAATGCCTGCCCGCTCTATCAGATCAGGAAGACTCATAGTATCGTACAGCACATCCATTATTTTCAGAAGCCACTGGTGTGGAAGGAGAAAAAGAACATGAGGAACAAGTACACTAGTAGAATTGCTATAACCAAAATCACCTGTAACATTGCCCAATGCGTGTGCAGACACCATAGAAGCTGTCCTCGGGGCATGTAGGTGTTTT